GTCAGCTTATGCCAGAGCCTGTCAAGGTGACATATCCAGTCACGATCGAGACGGTTGCTTATGACCAAGGTATGATAAGCGACACACATCGGCACTCTTTTCTTGTTACAAATTATTTTTGTGGCGGAAGCGTCTCGTCAGAATTTGAAACCCTGGCCAAGGATAAAGATCTCAGCTATCTACCTTTAGTTGGTGTGGCCATGCCGATACCAGAACCCTCCGAAAACCAGACGCCTGATATTAAAGGGCACGTGTTTTGTTTCCTCCCACTGCCTGTGCAAAAGACGAGCATGACAGGTTTACCAGTACACATCAATGGATTCTTTGCTTTGAGCCAGAACAGACGTTATATTAAGACTCCGAATGCTGAGCAAGAGGATTTGGCTCAAAAGGAAGGGCGGCAGCTGACTGACAAATCCCTGTTATGGAACCAGTGTCTTCTGGAAGAGGCCATCCCAAGAGCGTATGCTACGATGCTGATGGAAGCTATTAAAGAGAAGAGTTATAATATCCAACCAGATGCGATTTACAAGTAAGACTAAACTGTTTAAGTTGCACTTGTCGTGAGTGTCTCAAGCTTTGATCAAACGTTTGGCTGCCAATCCGTATCCAGGCACGTTCCAAAACACTTTTGCCCCATCATTTCCTCCTTTTTTGAGGTTTCGCAACTTGTGTAATACGCTGAATGATTTTTCCGATATGCGGTAATAGTGTTTGGGACAAGCACTTAATAATTTTCTTCTCTTTGTTAAGGTAATTGAATTTGCGCGTGCTGGTTTATTCCAACGACTCTTTAAGATACAGATCACGAGGTTAACAACGAAAACAAAACCCGCACCCAATACCGGCTTAAAAACGCAGAGCTGGGAAAGAATAGTGCACGCTGATTGGAAAATTCGTGCGGGCTGTGTCATTGACAATGGAACGATTTTTTTCTTCTTTTTTTCTAATTGAATTACTTTATTGTATTTCTTTACACCTAGAGCGTGGCCAAATATGGACGTCATTGATCAAAAGTGGAAAAGAGTGCAGAATCCTTTGTTGGAGTTGCTGTGTAATGAAAGAGTCGTTTATTCTCCCGCCCACGGAGGTAAATGGTTGAACGTGGAAGACGCGACGTTTGACAAACTTCCAGAGAACGATCCTAAAGAGTTGCTTGTGCGAGTTTTTCTTGTAGCGAATCAGAACGTCGCCACTTTGCCGGATCACGTTTTGAGAGCCTTGGGTTTGTACGCAAACTTAAGAACCGAGATAACGCCCTCAATAACGCGGAGAGTGTTCAGAGAAACGCCTTCTTGCTACAGAAGCCTCAGTCGGTTAGAGAAGATTCAGCTTCTAAAATTTGTGCTCAAAGATGAGCAGTTTTCAGACCTCCTCGGATTAGAGCTGTTGCCCGTTACCAATGGAAGCTTCATTTCGTTTTCTAACACCGATCAAGCTATTTACATCTGCTCGCCAGAGCATCCACGTGAACTTCTTCCTGGCCTGCAGGATCGATTTCTGGATCAAGACATTGACGATAGCCTCTTCCAAAGCTTGCAAGCAGTTTCCAATCAAGGTACAGATATGATCCGTGTTAATTCTACTACATCTTGGAATTACACTCAATATCTAAAGTAAATTTCTTTCATTCATGAAAAAGGTGGAATTTTGAGGTAAGGACAACGACTTCATCGGGCTAAGGGGTCCATTTCACCAAAGTTTGTCCGAGTTTCAGTAGCACGAACCGACTGTAGGAGTATTTTTACTTCCTCCTGGATAGGACGATAGAATTTCTTCTTCCCACTGCATCGCAGGGTTAC